TTCCTGTTGCTCCAACAAGAAGTTAAACTTTGTAAGTAAGATACTCACCACTGTAAAGGTTAGGGAGAAGTTCCTTAGTCAAATTCATGTGATGTTCTTTCTCTGTTGATCTTTTTAATACAACTTTGCCATTTTCTTTTTTTATTTCTCCTATAACTAAAGTTTCATTGTCAATTTTACCATCAACACCAAGGCAAACAAATTCTCTGTTACTCTCAACGGATTTTAAGTCTGACATTACTTTAACTGACTTCTTTTGTCTGTCCATCATGGATTTGTCTAAAACTAAAGTTGTTATAATTGCTGGATCATTAAACAGTCCTGATATATCAAGCATAAGTGCATTTCCTAATGCAGCTTATGCTCGATCTAACTTTCTGTATTGTTTCTGATTAACTCAATCGAAAACTTTGAAAACTACCAAAGATTGTAAATTCCTGATGGATTCCTTTCAGGCTCCCATATATAAAAGAAAAATTATAAAGTTCATTTACAAAAAATTTTGATATAAAAGAGTAATGAGTAAAAATAAAAAATTTAAAAAATGTAAAATAATGACACAAGTATTAATTTATTAGTTAATTACCTCACTAGAGCTAAAGATGACAGATTCTGAATCAGATTCTGATAATACTATATTTGGAAATAAATTAGATGTTTCTTGTTGTAATGATAACTATAAAACACAAAACACATGTAACTATAAAACACAAAAAACCACAGTCATCACCAAGTTCGCTAAACCTATTATTCACCAATATTCGTGGTCTTCGAAGTAACTTTTCTTCTGTTGAGTCTTACCTCTTGCAAAGTTCACCAGACCTGTCTTATCTTGTGATCTTAGTGTTGATGGTTATCTTCCTTTAATTCGTAAAGACTCCAATAGTCACATGCTTGGCCTGGGCATTTACATTCGTAAGAATTCACCCATTTGTCGGGAAACTAGGTTTGAATCCACAGACTACTCTTTTATGTGCTTTCGGCCCCTGGGTAGAAATCTTTCGTCTCCCTGTTGACAAATGTGCTTCTTTCATAACTTCGTGGATTCAGGCTGGCATGGAATTCTTTATTCCCTCTCGACGATTCCAGGTCAAGCCTCACTCTTCTCCATGGTTTTTCTCACATTGTGCTGCTGCAATTGCCAATCGAAACTATTACTTCCATATCTATCAGCAAAACAATTCTCCAGAAAACAGACGTCTCTTTATTACTGCTAGGAAACTCTCTTTATTGTAAAAAGGTTTTGTCTAACGCCAAAACCCGCTATTCTCAGATCATGAAATCTCGTATTTCATCACAAAAATTAGGCTCTCGTGACTTCTGGAGAATCTTTAATAGTATCAATAATAAGGGCAAGTCTGTAATTCCACCTCTTTTGTACGGTTTAGACTTTGTCACCTCACCTAAAGACAAAGCTGAATTGTTTGCCAAGAACTTTTCATCAATATCATCTCTTGATGCCACTAGTTGCGTTTTACCTGATATACCCGTCAAACAGGTTGATCCATTGCTCAACATTCGTATCACTCCAGCTTCTGTATCTAAAGTGATTTCCCGCTTAGACTCTTCTACAGCTTGCGGCCCGGACAACATACCTTTTATAGTCTTGCAGAAGTGTTCTCCGGAGCTGTCGTCTATCTTTTCAAAACTATTCAACAAGTGCTTATCAGAGTCTTGTTTTCCAGTCTGCTGGAAAGCAGGATCTGTTATCCCTATTTTTAAAAATTCTGGAGAGCGATCTGACTCATCTAACTACCGTCCCATTAGTCTTCTTCCTATCATAAGCAAGGTTTTTGAATCTTTAATTAACAAACACTTAATCTCTCATCTTGAATCTCATAACCTACTTTCTGATCATCAGTATGGATTTCGATCTTCTCGTTCTACGGCTGATTTGCTATCAGTAATAACCGATAGGTTTTATTGCGCATTAGATAAAGGTGGTGAGGTTAAGGCCATTGCTCTTGACATTTCTAAAGCGTTTGATAAAGTTTGGCATGCTGGTCTCCTCCATAAGCTTTCTTCTTATGGTGTATCTGGAAACATCTTTAAGATTATTTTATTGAATCTTTCTTTTCTAATCGTAGTATAAAAGTTGTCCTTGATGGACAGCACTCTTCTTCTTATTCTGTAACCTCAGGGGTTCTCCAATGTTCAATCCTTGGCCCTATACTCTTTTTAATTTACATTAACGATCTTCCAGATATTCTCACATCTAAGGTGGCATTGTTCGCTGATGATACTACCATTTATTCTTGTCACGATAAGAAGCCAACTCCCTCTGATTGCTTGCAGAGGGCATCTGAGCTCGAAAAGGATCTCACTTCTGCCACAGCATGGGGCTCGCAGTGGCTGGTGAACATTAATTCAGATAAAACTCAATTTTTTTTGGCCAATCGTTATCGTAATAATTTAGACCTTCCTATATTTATGAACGGTAATGTACTCAATGAGTCTCCTACCCTTCATCTTCTTGTATTAACTCTTACTTCTGATCTTTCTTGGAAACCTTATATCAAATCCGTTGCAAAATTAGCATCTGCTAAAGTTGCTTCTCTTTATCGAGCTTGTCACTTTCTTACTCTGGATTCTACTCTCTATCTCTATAAATCTCAAATCTGGCCTTGTATGGAATACTGTTGCCATATCTGGGGCGGATCTTCTAATGATGCCCTTTCTCTTTTAGACAAGGTGCAAAAACGCATTGCAAACATAGTTGGACCTGCTCTTGCAGCCAACCTTCAACCTCTGTCACATCGTCATAATGTTGCTTCTCTTTTTCTTTTCTACAAATACTATAATGGGCACTGCTCTAAAGAGCTAGCATCTCTTGTGCCATCTGCTAAAATTCATTCTCGTGTTACTCGTCATTCAATTAAGTCTCATCCTTTTTCTGTTACTGTTCCTAAGTGCTCCAAAAACTCTTATTCGTCTAGTTTTTTTCCTCGAACATTAGTTCTTTGGAATTCGCTTCCTTCATCTTGCTTTCCTGATTCATATAATTTGCAATATTTTAAGTCGTCTGTCAATCGTTATCTTGCTCTACAATCTTCATCTTTTCTCTTCCAGTAACTTCCAACACTAATTAGTGGTTGCTTGCAACCTTGTTGGAAGCGAAGATAATTAAAAAAAAAAAGATTGTTCCACATTTTTATATTCAGTTTTATGTTTCTTTAAAGGTTCTTTTCAAGACCATTTACAATCAACTGAGCCAAGTTGAAATGATCTTTTGGAATTGACCTCTCTCTCTGGTCTTTTAAATATAACCTTTCTTCTACAGGAATCTAAATATTATTTGATAATATTGAGCAATTGCATATGAAATTCATAGTAACTTTATCATACTAGTAATATACTAATATTCATTTTATTTAAAAATACTTTTATATTATTTATCTATTATTAAAAAAACAACAGTACTTTTATATCTGGATTATGTGAAATATGAGTATCAGGACTGATATCAAAAAGCCTATCCAATTTTTTAAAAGTGTTTTTTTCTGTTAATACTTTGCATTTACTTCGGTTTTGTTAACCTGGATATGTTTAAAAGTACTTCAACTTTTTTCTACACAATAAGTAGACATGGTAACCGAGTGTTAACTTTTTTCCATGTTGAAATGTTGAAATCATGATGAAACTCATAAAATAAACATAAGCAAAATATGATCCACATTTACTAGTTTTGTCAATTTGGCAAACTACATCATCTTTGGGAATACAAGCTTTCATGATCTGTTGCCAATTTTCTCCTGTAGCAGACCTAAAACATAACAGTTAAACTTTACAAACTTTTTTTGTACAAAATTTTTGCTAAAAATTTATATATATATATTACATATATTTTATTATTATTTTTTCATGATTATTTTTTCAGTTTTACAATTACGCTAAAACTTATTTTTTTTGAATAATCTTTCTGTTTTGAATAATCTATCTGTTTGTGAGTTCTTTATTTAGAAGAGGGTTAGGACTTCCACCAAACCTTGCTTTTTGTGCAATTACGTTTTTTACGCTTGTTTGAAAACTTTATTTTTCGTCCTCCAAAATTTGCTTTTTCCCACGCAATTATAACATTTGTTTATTTTGCGTATATGCGGCAATTTTTAATTTGTATGAAAATGTTAGTGGAAAAGATGGCATTGCAAAACTTTTTTTAATAAAATATATCAACATTTAAAATCATTTTAGCTCAACTTTAACTTCATTAAAACAAAAAAGATTTTACCTAGCACATTTTTTTCACCTAATAATCAAATCTCTTTATTACCAATTTAATTTCCAAACCTCTGATTCCAAAATCGACCTGCCCTAATACACATATTTTTTTATATTTAACTTTTTTTCATACTATGCACAAAATTTTGATTTTAAACAGTTGTTTTCAGTTAATTTACATTAGTAGTGACAAGGTTAATCAGAGTTTATCCATTATTACAAATTTTAACTGAGCGGTCGAATTTCTGAGAAGTGCGCAGTGAGCCAGTAGGTTAACAAAATGTGAAAAAGTTTAGTTGTCTAATTTCTATAACTATAAAGGAGAAATTTTATTTAGATTAAATCTTTAAATAAGAATATATGCGGTAGTGGTAGCGGTAGTGGTAGAGTGGTAATGCGGTAGTGGTATAGTGGTAGAGCGCTCGCCTCAAAAGTGAGAAGTTCCGAGTTAGATCATCACCATGTCTATGGTAGTACCGCGCTCAACTTGCTTCTCCGCACAGCAGCCTTTTTCGTCAAGGTTTGTGTTTTGGAATTACTATCTATCATATTTTGTATTTTGAAATTCACTTTCATAAGAAGCGCGACCTCAATGGCACTTATGCCAAATGAAATCCGGCCCACTGTGCAGTGTTGTCTTAAAATTTTTATTTAGAGCGACAATAATTGCATGCGTCGAATAAAGGACGATGTTTGTAGCAATAAAGATATTATTTGCATTTTCTGCAATGTTTTTTTTTTCTGAATTTTTTAAAAATTTTAACGCAAACTTTATAATTTAGCCTGGAGATTTTATACATACACTTGGAGATGCGCATGTGTATAACAATCACGTATCCGCTTTAAAAGAACAGGTAGTGTTTCTTAATGCATTGCCCTATTCAATTAGTTTTGTTTTTTTGCAATATGGGCTTATTTCAACTTGTTTGTAAAAGCTTTTCAACTTAAAGATTAGTATTGTGTTTTTTTTTTTACTAAATTAATATAATCCTCTATCGCTTTCTCATTTCTTATTTCTTATTAGATTTATTCACCTCTGATTGATTTTTTTTCCTGGTTATCTGATATTATATTTTTTTTAAACTTTACTCAGAATTTTTATGTGATTTTATTCAGATTGGTCGTAGCCCCCGTCCATTTCCCAAGTTAAATATCAAACGAAAAGTAGAAAATATTGATGATTTTAAATCGGATGATTTTGAATTGATTGGTTACAATCCGCATCAAAAAATTAAGATGGCCATGGCTGTGTAAATATTCACGAAAAGTTGGTATATAAACTGGTATATATAACTATTTCATCCAATAAACTAGATAAATTATCGATGGATTGCGCATTAAATGTAAAGCTTTTATTTATAGTCTATCTTTATTTATAAAGTTGTTATTCTAAAATATAAATATATTTCTATGATTTCTGCAAAATCGTTTTATGACCTAAAGTTCTCATTGGGCTTAAAATTTTTTTTTTTTAATTATTTGATGCATAAAAAGCGAGATGGAAAAAGCAAAAAGTGAACGGTTTTATGATGCTTCTTAATTCTCGTCGAGATTACTTCAAATATTGAACAATAAATAAAAAATATTCGGGCAAGATAAGCCTAATTTGGCTCATTCAAAATAAAACTCAAATTAGCTTGATTTGTTAATTTAGTTTGAAATAATACCTCTCTCTTACCTATGCGTTACCTCACTACTTTATGCGCAGTGGTGTAGTGGTAGCGCTTGTTTCATAAGCGAGAAGCTCCAAGTTTGATCATCATTACGTCCTTCGTAGTACCGCGCTCAACTTATTTCTCTGCGTAGTGGCCTTATCTTTAAGGTTTGTGTCTCGGAGTTAAAGAGTTGAGAGAGGGTTGTAACAATAAAAGTAGCCTTCTCGACTGTAATGGCTCTCTGGCATTGGGGAGGTGAATTATATTGAAATTTAATTTATTTTATAATTTAATAATTTTTATATTGAAAAATAAAAAATTTAATAAAACTCATTTAAAGGCTCGATTTTTCTTTCAGTTTTGCAAAACAAGATTAATTATTTTTTAGTAACGTAAACCGAGATTACTTTGAACTGTTCTAGCAAACAATATTGTGGATGTAGCAAATAAAAATAAACTCATTTGGGGGTAGTAAAACACCCCACCGTCTTTTGAGTGTAAAGCGCAACAATAATAAACGTTTTCCTAAATTTCTTTAGTTTAAAAACGTTGTCTGTTAATTGCATACATCTTTATGTGAGCAATACTTCCTGAAATTTTTCATATAAATTGGTCATATTCTTTTTTTTTTACTGCAATTTACAAGGTTTTTTTTTGTTTTTTTTTTTACTGCAATTATATCACTTAAATAATTAATATATTTAAGAATTTTAAACTTAAATTTTTCTGCCCATTACGTAATATCAGCTAAGTTCAGTCACCATAAATCTTGATCATCTGCAAGAAAACATTTCTAAATTGGATTTTATAACAAGGTGCATATAAACCTATAAAAACCAGCGTGGCGCAGTGGTTAGAGCGCTTGCTTACGTTCTGGGCATATTTCGTGTACTTTATCAAAATAATAATGAAACTTTAAAATTGTAAAACTTTTTTTTAACTGGTTATTAAAGTACTCCAAGAAAACCTACTAGCTTTGTCACAAGTTTATAACCCAAGCCGGCATTTGGTCCAAAAAAGACGTCTTTTGTAAACGTCTTTGAACGTTCTGCACGCATCAAACCTAGAATATATCCATTCTGAAAATTGCGCTGTAACCATTTTGCTACGTGTGTTTTGATTGTGTATTATTTAATTTTATCATTTAAAGTTTTTAGTCATTAACGGCAGTCACCAATTTTAGTAATGGAATACAGTGAAGACGCTTCACTGTATTCCATCGCTAAAATCTCAGATAGTAGCTTTGGATTACTCAATCTTAATTGCAATGACTACATTAAAAGTAAATACAATTCAAATTAAATAAGTTTCTTAAATCTTTTTAGTTGAACCTTAATTTTGTATGCTTTTAATACAAATTTGCGTTAAAAACATTTGTGACAAATGCTTTAATTATCGTTTCAGGCTGTCTTGCGCATAGCATTACTTTTGGATAGATCTATCTTCTAGATAAACCTTATAATATTTTAATTTCGAATTTAATAACGCTGGCGTTACTCTTTTGTGAGTTTTTATTAAGTATTCACGGCTCCATAACATCCGAGTTAACTGCGAAAAAGAGTCAGTATAAAGATATGTGAACGAATGTGAAAAAATATTTTTGAACTTCTGTAAATATTTTTACTTTTATAAAGTTTTACGTTCATATAATTAACTAATATTTAATTTAAAATCTAAACAATTACTTAAAGATCTGTTAATGGCAGTAAAAGGAAATTTAAATTTCGAATTTTTAAAAACGTTCTTAAACATTTGTGAAATAAATGACAATGTAGTAAATCAAATAGTTATTGTCTGTAAGTCTATAGAAGACTTACTTACAAATGTGAATGTCTAATCCAATATTTTTTTTGTTTGTTTTCTTTTTTTCTTTCTTTCTCTGTTTACATAAACATAAGAGTTTTACAAATTCCACTACATAATATAAAATTTAACGAAACAATTAAAACAAATAGGAGCTCGAAGAAGATGAGGATGACAGAACGTCATCGCAATCTTTTCATAGAACCCCTTTAACAAGTTTTAATTAAAATATCGTAATATGAAATACAAAATAAAAATTTCAATAAAATATCATAACAAAATGCGTAATCAGCTAATAAAATTTGTCAAGCAACAAACAAAAGTTGAAACAAAACAAAAACGTATTTAAGAGAATTTATCCAATGCATTATTAACAAAAAATGTTTCACAGGTTTTAAAAATTTCTTTTTTTATTAAAAACTTGAATGAACTTTATGAACTCACCGTACCTTTGAACCCTTTTTGAAAAATATTCCATACTTTTAGACCTCGATATAAAACGCTGTATTCTGAATATTTATTTATTATCCTAGACAGTTTATATGTGTTCAACATATTCGCTCTAAGATTATAGTTATCATTTTTATTTAACTCAAACTTATTATTAAAGCTTATAGGAGAGATATTGTGATTGTAACGATACATGAAAATTAAATGCTGGTAGATGTTTATTTCAAATACATTCATCATTTTCATATCTTTCATCAAGGGATTAGCGTGTTGCCGCCTATTTTTAAAGTAAATGATTCTACAGGCATGTTTCTGAAACCTATAAAGTTTCTTAAGTTTTGCTGTTTGAGTACTTGCCCATGAAATGTTTGCATAGCTGATGAGGCTGTGAATTAGCCCAAAGTAGATTAATTTAAGACTATTTGTATTGATGTACGAGCGAACTCGATACATTAAACCTATGATTTTGGTAATTTTTGACTGGATATATATTATATGAGGAAGCCAGGATAATTTTTCATCAACAACGATTCCCAAGAATCTTATATTGGATTGCTTTTTAATTAATTTGTCATTTATAAATAGGTTCGGCAACTTAAAAGGAAGATTTTCTTCTTGTGTTTTTTTATGAAAAAGTATATAGTTTGTTTTCTTGGCATTAAGTGAGAGTTTAAAAATTAGTTAAAATTAGTTAAAATGGAGGAAAAAATAAGAATAGTGAAGTGTGCCAATCGTGTTCGATATGCAAAAATTGAAGCCGATGAATTTTGCATTGAAAATAATATTAAAGACATTTGCTTATGTAGAAAAATATGGCGCAAATGTTAATGAAGACATTAAAAAATGTAAAAAAAGAATCATATAAATTGGCTTTAGGATTTTACTTAGAATCAAAAAAACTAACTTTAGCAATCACTGTACCAGCTGGAGTCACTGTAGTTTGCGTAGATTTTTTAAAAGATATAGTTCCGAAAATAGTTAAGATTGGCAAATCAAATCCAGGTATAATGAATGGCGTTGTGTCGTCATTGGATAAAGTTGTAGCATATTGTAGTGAAATTACATTGCTATAGGAATTAAAAGGCAAGACATTGTCTGGTGCTATTATTTTTAAGATAATGACTTGTCATAGTATTTGTAATAATGCGTATGAATATTGCACAGGAAAAAATAGTAGTAAGCAATGTCTGACATTGATTGGTATTGATGTTGACGCTACTGGACTGTCGGCATTGACAACAACAGGGTTAGGTGTTATGGGTAGCATCATAGGCTCAATTTTCTTTCTCGGTGTTGGCTCGTTGATAGGAGGTGTTATCGGAGGTTTAATTTGCAATATTATTGGAAATAAATATGTTGAACCATTAGTGAAACGATTGTTATCTGGAGAAATGCTATCCAACTTACAAATTGTCGATTCAGTTTGTCAAGCAGAAATAGAAAAACTTTATGATAATGCACTTAAAGATTTCAACGTATCAGATAATACACCATCGGATTAAGAAAAAAAAATATTGAAGAAATTACATTTTGTGTTTTCTTCCAGTTAAGCGAGATTCTTTAAATGATACACAAACTCAAAAGCTTATTCACTTGGAGGCATGTTGAAAAATAATAGAAAATTATAGAACAGCTGAAGGCACTTGGAAATAAATTCAAAAATTAGGCTTGAATTTACATATATATATATATATATATATATATATATATATATATATATATATATATATATCTGAGTTACTTTTATTTACTTTGTTTTCAATTTTACTTCTCCACTGCAGAGTTTTTTCAGTTTAATAAATTAAATGGTTTTATGCTGCTAAACTGCTAGGTTTTTCTCGCTTTTTTTCCAAAAACATTTGTTATAAAAAATAAATAAAACAACTTAAATACAAGCCTTACTATATGCACCATTCAATTCTTAACTCTTCTCAGTAGTATGTTAGATGGTAAATAACATAACTACATAGAGAGTGACTTGTACTTCTACTTTTTGCTATAAAATTGGTTTTCCAAAATAACTATTCCATATACATAAAATAAAGAAGGAAATAAAATCATCATAGGTGACAATTTATCATCACACTTTTCTGAATTACATAGTCAATTAATATGGTGGACTTTATTTGTGGAAAAAGTTTCCTATAATTGCAAATACGAAAAAAGTATACAAGAATTTAAAAATGAATCGAAATAGGTGTTATTACTTATGGATTTTAACATTTCCGATTTTAAATGCTTCTTTTTTAACTAAAATTCAATTATATAAAATATGTCACAGAATGCATAATTTTTTCATTAATTTAGTTATGGTGTTACCTTTATTGAATATTTTTTAAAATGTAATTTGAACTCTTATTCATATATATACATCAATGAATTGGTATTTGTTTTACTTTTATACACATTGGTTTTAAGGTAAGGATATATATTGCGGTTTTTAAAAATATAACTTGAATATTACTTTTTAAGACTCGGTGATAAGACATAATAATGTCTTCTGCTTTCCCTGCCAGTGTTTTTATTTATATACTTTTAAATTGTAAATTTTGTTAAACAGCAAAATAAACAAACTAACAACACCCGCTTCGGGTACTAATATCCAAACCGCTGATAAGCAGCGGTTCGTGCAACGACTACCGAAGCAGTTTAAATTTGTTGAAGTTAGTTATGGTATAAATTATTTTTTTATGCATAAATTTAAAAGGTAGACAATATCATGGAAGTACTATATCTCTAGTACTTCCATGAGAATATGTATAGTTTTACTAACGTTTACTAAAAAATATTAAGTAAGCAATAAGATGGAAGAAATAGTCGGTGTAGAATAAACTTACCAAGACCCGTATTTTAGGGTCCGGACAGCTTGTATATGTTATATTTGGATAGATCTTCCTTCTAGAAGATTCCAATAATTTGAGCAGCGTTAGAGAGTCTAGGGTTTAGTTAAAAGCAAATCAATTTAAAAGCTAATTGGATTTCTGAGTTATTTTTAAAGACATTTTGACTTGTTTTATCTTTTTCAAAAAACTTTTATTGCACCATAAACCTTTCATACGAACATACTCGGAAAAAGATTTTTTGCTAAGTTTTTCTTTTAGAAAAACTTATCAAAAAATTCTTTTGAATTTGAAAAAAAAAAAAAAATTGCATTTGAAAAAAAAAATTTATCTTTAAAAACTTCGGCGTTTTACATAGCAACGCCAATTTAGTGCAGTTTTCACACAAGTAAGTTTTTCTAACCATGTGCAAACAATTATTTATTTTCTTGGTTCCTCTAATCTAATTCCAAAGTTATTGTAAAATTGATTAGCATGAAGATTAGAATCAAGCGTAATTAAAATATTAAAGTAAAGCGCCTAACAATTAATATAAAATTTCTATTTCTAATATTTAATGTTAATAGTTGTAAATTATAGTTTTAAAATAACATTATTATAGTTTTAAATATATTATGTAGTTATATATAACTACATATATATAACAACATCTCATATTATAAAGTATATATACTTTATAATATAAGATATTGTTGAGTTTCAGTTACAAAAATCTTAAATTACACACTCACACACACACACACACACACACACACACACACACTTACGAACAGATACACACACACGCACACACACACACACACACACACACACACACACACACACACACACACACACACACACACACACACACACATATATATATGTGTATGCATATTAAAATAACAACATAATGTTGTTGTTATTGTTATTATTATATAGTATAAAATATATAATAAAAACATTATGATATTATTGTTCTTGTTATTATTTTTAGTGATAAAATTAACAATGATGAAAATAATAATAATAACTACAGCAACAGTAACAACAACAATAACAACAACAACAACAATTATAGTTAATATTATAAAAATTTTGTTTGATAAGTCAATAATTATTATTATTTTTTTACATAATTAAACTTAAGTTAGTTAAACTCAATTAACTTAAGTTGAATTATGTATACTCAGGGTACTAAATATTTTAACAATATTTGTAGCATTAAAAACCATTACCAAAAGCTGCATCTGTTATGCAATAACAAAATTTAATCACAAAAAAACAAACTTTGTAAAATTAAAATAATGAGGATGTTAGAATTACAATAACTATATAAAGTAATTTCTAAATTTTCCTAATTTTTTATTATTTTGTTGTTATTATTTTTTTTAAACCTGTTCTGAATTTTAAACCCTTCATTTTATGAGTTTTTAAATAAAATAAATAAAAATAAATAATATCACTCAAAATAAATATTTTATTTAAATCGCACTTTACCAAAATATTTTTTTCGTAAAAAGATTTGGCGTATTATGGCATCATGTTATGGTGAGTTTTTGGAGGATGATTATTCAGGAGGTGATGCTAGCTTTATAGAAAATAAATGCATTAATACATTAGAAATTTCAAGAATTAACTGCATTAAAAAAGAAAGTTATGGTTTATTAAAGCCAGAAAGTCTAATGAACTTCTCAATAGTAACATCAGAACATGGTTCTTGTTTATCTGAAATCAATTTTGAAATAAGTGAAAAAAATTCTATCAATGATTGTTTCTTAAATGATGATAATGATTCAATACAAAAAGATGATAATGATTCAATACAAAAAGATGATAATGATTCAAGAAATGATGATAATGATTCAAGAAATGATAATAACGAATCAATAAAAAAAGATAATGATTCAAGAAATAATTCAAGAATAGAAAAAGTTCAAAAAAAGATTACACCCAAGAATAAAATGAATGATAATGGTAATTTAAATTTTTTATTAATTATTCTGAAGTTTCTTTTTTTACAGATTGTAAAGTTACACTAGATATTAGGAGTTTTTAAAATTAAAAAAAAAAACAACTTATTAGTTCATTAGTTAACATTTATTTATTTATTTAATAACTGTGTACATGTACAATGACAATGTACTGAGCCTAGTTGATCTAGGCTTTAACAGCTGATTTATGTTAAAAATAAGTCCAGCTTTGATTTAAACTGTTTAAGTGTTTTAGAATCTACAATGTTTTGATCTAAGTTATTCCAGCTGTTAATAACACGTTTCATTAAGAAATTTTAATACCTCTTTGGATTTTTAGTTAATTGTCTATGAAACCTCATATTGTGACCTCTCGTATTTGAAGCTATTAAATCTGGTGGGTATTCCTATGTTAAATTATCTTTTTTTTTTTTACTATTTTGTAAAGTTGGATTAGGTCATTACGTTCACGTCTTTTTTCAAGAGTCGTTAATTTAAAGTAGGTTAGTCTACTTTCATAGTTTTTTCCTTGAAGGCATTTAGTTAATATATATTATTAGTTTAGTTAATATAATTTATTCAATATAGTAAACATATTGTAAAAAAACATAATATATACAACAAACTATTTGTTTATATTATATATATATATAAACAACTATTTGTTTATATATATATAATATAAACAAATAGTTTTAACCATTTTGCACCTTAATTTAATTTTTTTTATACTTTATTTTTTTTTCACTTTCTTTTCGAATGTTTTAGGAAAAATTATCAATTAAAAAATATAAACTATTTATTTACTATTAATCTCCTGATATTTAGTTTCTAAAGAATTTGATTATTATTTTGAATTTATTTTTTCAACAATTTAAAAATTTTAAGAATTAAAATATATATTTCTAAAATATTAAAAAAATAATTTTGATGATTACAAATGGCTCATTCCATTTCAAATCAGCATGCCAATGGCACCCCATTATTTGGATTATTCTAACTAAAAACTAGGAAATTATGGTTTTTAAATGCATTATTTATATATTATATAACTTTACACATCAGTTCTAATTTTTTTGTACCTACTCATGTTTTTTTACTCAAAGTTATATTGTTCTTCACCTAATAAGTAATAGTAAAAAAAAAAAAAAAATTATATGCTGGTAATGGTAGCTCTTTTTCTTCTATTTCCTTGAGCTTGAGGAATATTTGATTGTCTAAACATCTTTGCAATAGTTAAAATAATTTCAGCTCCAAACATTAAAATATAAAAACTTAAAAATAGCGTTCAAGAACCTGAGATTTCACAGGTCTAGATACTAAAGTTCAAGTTAAAATTCCATTATATGGAATTTTAACTTTCCTCATTTATATTAAATTAAATTCCTCAATTATATTATATTATATTATATATATTAAATTATATAATATAAAATCTTAATAAGCATATTACATTTTAAATTAATTTTTAAAGTTTTGTGTTTTTGTCTTAAGAACACAATTTATCTTGCAGACCAGATATTTTATGGAAATATCTTGATTGTTTAAACTAATAACTGACTAACAACATTTTTTGAAAAAGCAGTGCAATAAGTGGGAGAGATATAAGGTTTAAAAAAGTTAGGTTTTAAACCCCCTCATCCTCCTCCAATTTTTTAAATAACAAATTTTTTCTATAAATCTTGTTTATTTTGTTCAATGATATTTTCCAAATCAATTTCTGAAATGTTGTGTTTATCAGTTTATAAAAAATACCACATTTTCACCCCCCCCTTTTTTTTTTGTCCTCACCTTTACCTAAAAATAAAAATTCTCATGGCCACTTGTTATTATGGGTTGACCTCAAAATGACTTCAAAAGGACTTTTTTGCTACTTAAAAAATGTTATGCCAACATTTTTTGTGTGTATGTATATGTGGGTGTGTGTATATATGTATGTGTGTGTATGTGTATATACATGTTATGCCAACATTTTTTAAAAAGCTTTAATAGTTTTTTAATTATTTTTTTAAAGCTTTTTAAAAGGTTTTAATAAGTTTTTTTTAGAAAAGATGAAAATGCAATAATAAATTTTTTGCAACAATATATTTTTTGCAATGATATATTTTGCATTATAAATATATTATTGCATTATACAATGCAATAATATATTTTTTATAAAATTGATGTTTAATACCATATTTTTTAAGTTGTAAAAGGCCTCTAAAACTTCAAGGTCATCACCATTTTGACCATCAAAATACCCCAATATATATAAAGCCTTTATCTTTTAATTTATATGAGGTTACAATACTCTAAAATTAATAAAATTAATTTAATATTTATATCCAACATGTAAAACATTGTCTATGTATCAAATTTTGATACAAAGTGGATATCTCGCTTAGTTCATTAATGAACTGAATAAAGTATTGCCTAAATATTGCTATATAATGACAAAAAAGCATACTTATTTTTCTTTGTTGCAAAAAAATGCCGAGTTAACATAAATAAAAAAATTAAAATATGAATATCTTAAGAATGGTAAGAAGTTGGAGGTTTCAGATTTTTTTAAATTTAAATACATGTTATAGGGTTTCTAATAAACTTTATAACCTGTATTTAAATTAGAAAAATCTAAAACATGGCGTGCCATTTTTAGGTTTTTCTGCTGATTTGACATGCTAATTGTAAATTTTGGATGTGATTTTAGAAGAAATTCACAAAAGATTAATATTCTTTAAAAAAAAATTTCTTATTTATTTGAAATTTTCAAGATGTTATTTTTTCTTTATATGTTTTATCTTGAATCACAAATTAAAGATGTAAAGCCTTATAATGTAGTATATTACCAGGGCTGGATTTACACTCTTATAGCCCCTAGGCGAAATCAATTTTGTGGCACTCAAAAATATTTTGAATTAAAAACCATTATATAGTATATATATAGTATGAAACTGTTAGTTGTTTGCTTTTGTGTCTTTAATTCCTTAATTAAGCATTACTTAAGAACCAAATTTAAATATATGAAACAACCATTGCTTTAAACATTAAAAGAAACCCAAAAGCAATTTATAGATATATAAAAAAAAGATTAAAGAAGGAATTTAATTTACACAATTTCTATAATCCTGAAGTGGCTTAACCAAATAAATGCACAATAGTGGATGGAGTTCACTTATATCCTTTAAAGTTTTGCACAGAAGCGTTTTCATTACCTTTATTGCTTATTTTTAATAAATCGTATGACACTGGAATAATACTGTTAATGTGGTTAAATGTTAACATGACGCCAGTATTTAAAAGTGGAGATAAATCAGATCCATCAAGTTATTGACCAGTATCACATACTCCAGTAATAAGCATTGTAATGGAACGTATCTTTAAAACTATATTTATGTTGCATTTAGAAAAAAACAATCTTTGACTAAGGAACACCATGAGTTTTCTAGTAAAAAAACCATATAACCATATAGATTCTATGGACCTAAAAACACAAGCAATAAAAGATAATTTTCCAGTAGATATCATTTTGCTAGATATGAAAAAAGCTTTCAATTCCTTGCCTAACAACAGATTGTGTCTTGAACTAAAAAGTTATGGATTTAATGATAAAGCACTTAGATTGTGCAGAATTTTTTTTGCAAAATGCCATCTGCACCGGCGAATTTTTAAATCAGTCTTTAGTTTTTTTTTGTTTGTTAATTCACCTCCTCAAAGCCAAGAAGACCACTACAAATGAGGAGGCTACTTATTTGTGTTTAAACTACCAGAAACCAAAATTGAAAAAGATTTAGGAACTATGATTTCAAATAAATTAAAATGGTTTATTCAAGTTAATTATGTGTATGGTAAAGTTAAAAAAATATTAGGAATTATAAAATATTCATTAAAAAACTTAGACATCTAAAACATATCTAAGCTATTGTTTATATCTAGACTATGTAACTTCAGTGTGCTATTCTTACTTAGAACAAGACAAAAAAAAAAAATAGAAACGATACAATGTAAAGTATGAAACAAGACTTACTTACTTTAAATAAATGATTCTTGAAAAAAGATGTGATAGTAATAACCTTATCCAATTTTATAAAATAGTAAAAAATATAGATAGTTTGAGGTTTCATAGACAATAAAAAATCCAAAGAAATACGATTTCTTAACAAACAGTGTTATAACAGTTGGAACAACTTAGATTAAAACATTGTAGATTTTAAAACACTTAAAGAATTTAAATCAAAATTGGACTTGTTTATAACATAAATCTGCTGTTAAAGTCTAGATTACATAGGCTCTGTAGATTGTTATTGTGCATGTGCACAGTTGTTATTGAATAAATAAATAATTTCCACATTGTCTATTACAAGACTATTTTTAATGTTTTATTTAGTTTATTTATATTTCAGTTATATTTTTTTTAGTTCAAGTTTTTCTTATTTAAAAGCCTTATCTAAGGGGATTTTATATATTTATATTAAGTATGGCCTTTAAACTTAAATTATGTTATTAATGCCAATAATAAAAATCTTATTAGAAATGCTATTATAGTAGATGTTTATGAACATGGTAATAAATAAAATCTATTATACCTATGTTTTATTATGTTATAGTATATATGTTTTATTATGTTATAGTGTTATGCTATATAATTGTTGATGTGTTATGATATATGTGATGCTGTATGTTAGTTGACTAACTACTATATGTTAATTTATAAAAATTTTAAGAAAGATGCAATAAGTTTTTTAATAGATGTAGCAAGCCTTCTTGGGAGTCGCATTTGGTTGCATGCCTTAGATGACCACACATATAATTTTTTATTTTCACAACTTGGCCTCAGCAAAAAATGTGTTTTAAGTTTTAAAAATATGTGTTAAAAAAATTTGCTGAATAAACAAATGTAAATTTAAACTAAAATTAAAAATAAACTATGAACTGGAAAGAGCAATAAAAACTAAAAAAATCAAATAAAATACTAAACTAAAAAAAAAAAAAAAAAATTAAATAAATATTATATAACATTTA